ATGCAAGGGTCCCCACGGCTTACGGTCTCTCTAAAGTTCACAAGGAGGGTGCTCCTCAGATCAATTTTAAATAATAAAGGAAGCGTGATTCATAAAATCTCATGTTTTTTATGAATACGACTAAGGAACTCTGCAAATGTTTGGCTATATTCAGTTAAAAATTCGTATGATTTTGTGAAATTGCTAGATTAGCAGACAATTTCAGGAGAGGATAGGCTGGTTAATTTTGTTGTGTATATGTACACAAGCATTCATGTCCAAGGAGCTATTTAAGCTCTGATACAAACTCTGGAGGAACATCAAGGGATAGCACAAGTAATAAGACTGAGTATAGCTTCCAGTATTAGATTTATTAATCTATCCATGAGTGCAACATATTTTACCTTTGATGGTAAGTTATACGAACAAACACAAGGATTAGCGATGGGATCCTGCCTGGCTTCCAGCTTGGCGAACAATTATATGACAAGACTGGAGGAACACTTCCTGCAAGAGGCAATACTAATCCCCAAATTGTGGGTTAGATATATGGATGACTGTGTCATCTGGCCTCATGGTAAGGACAATTTAGATAGTTTCCTACTTTCACTCAACCAGCGTGAAAGGGACATTAGGTTCAGGTTGGAAATGGAAGAGAATAAGTCCTTACCTTTTATGGATGTTCTCATCAATAGAGAAAAGGATAAGTTAGAAAGAGATGTTTATAGGAAGCAAAAATATGCTGGTTCTTTGCTTAATTTTCTTTCCAACCATAGTTACAAGACTAAGGTCGGAATTTTGAAGTCAATGATTCTTAGAAGTATGAGGCTAGTGGATAGCTGGCTAAAGAGTTGGAACAATGACGAATTTATTCCTGGAAAATAATTATCATTTGGGCCTTATTGAGAATAATATCTCTCTATTGAGGAATAAATATTTTGACGGAGACTATTTAGTCAAAGATAGACAGACTGAGACCTTATTCTATGCCCTAATTTTGCCGTCATGCCTTCTCTCAAAAAAGATAGACGAATTAGTAAAGTGAGGCATAAAAACAGTGTTCGAAGAAACCCTCACACTTCTGTTATACCATCTTTTAGAGAGAAATATGACCCATTATCGAGATCCGGCTGATACAAGATTGTTTGCTCATGTGGTTGATGTTATGTTGGTTAGACATGCCGACCTATTCGACAAAAATTGGGAGAACACAAAAATGCTTCTAAAGGAAGCTGGATACAATGGTCAGAAGTGGTCGAACATATGGTAGAAACTGGACATGAAATAGAATGGTCTCAAACTAGTAGGTTTGCTGATTATGGTATGTCCGTGGTTAAAAGAAAGATAAGAGAGGCTATTGAAATTAATAGCTTAGGAAATACGTTGAATTTGAGGAACAGTGGTAGAAAATTGAGTAGGAACTACTTATACTTAATTGATAGATTGAAGGAGAGAGAGGAGAGCCGCCGTCAAAAAGAAGGCGACTCAATTTGTCTGCTCGGTGATGGTTTTAACTTCACTCACACTCGTTCAACATGTTAGGGTGAGTTCAGTAACCAAACCAGACATGCCATATTACGCAACCCCAGTTTTGTCTTTCCTTGAGGGGTTAAGCATTAGGACAAGTGGTTTCCTAATTTGATTTTCATGCTTACAAGCTCATATCTCAATATCTCAACCATACTTGTTTACGAACTTACGCAGTCTCGGTCAAGACTTCCTCTTGGGGCATTAGGGCTTGAGGATAAGAACCTGAGATTAAAGCTTTGACAACTCTGATTTAGGAACCGTATTGAATATAGACGCTAAAATGCACACATACACATACGCATACACTAGAGCAAAAGTAATAGGACCAGTATGAAAGATAATTAACCAAACCACTCCATATAGATCTATCTAGGTTTTTAATTTTCTTTTGGCTTAATTGAGCCTATATAAGAAAATAGAGACGGATAGTGTTCTTGCCCTAGTGTTAACGTGAGGCTTACAAGGATGACACCTAGCTCGGATAATGTCCATCATATGATAGACAAAAGCTCAGCACGTTTTCACCTGAAACGAGATAGGAAGTCTTATGGACTGCGTCATCATAAATATCGTATAAAAGCCAAACTGTGCTGCAGTATAACGAGATTTATCCGTCCTCATCTGGTGAGATCGAACAACAAATCTCTTCTTCATTCACTTTCATACAAAATGAAAGTCCCTCTAACAATGTTATCTCAAGAGATTCATCTAAACCCAGTTTCTCTTCGTATCTCACATTTTATGCTTGTTAGGCTATACGAATGTTACATTCATTCCATTCATAAAAACATGAAGGATAAACCCTGAGAGATATAGAAAACGCAGGTCACTTTGTATGAATAATAACATAATAAGTATGAAGTGTAATTTCTAAAGTTAGGCAAGAGCAACATGAATCTCGAAGAATAGATAATTAAAAATAGTCATCAGAGATTTGCTGAAATCCGATTTTAGTAAGATTGGATTATCTTAAGGCTAAAATTAGTCAAAGAACTGAGTTGAAATGAAAAAGTCTATCTACTGAAAAGGCAAATGTTTACAACTAGCTGGATAGATCTTGAAAGGGAGAAATACAGTGATTTGCAATTTTGAGGATATTATTAACTAAGTAGACCTACCACTGTCAAGAGCTGAGACATCATCGCTTCCCTCGTCTTCGCCCTCACTACTGTGTTCACCACTACTTGAAGTGGTTGTAGTGGATACCTGGCTGTCATATTCTTCAGCAAGCTCACTAGTCTCAGATTCATCTGGTGGTTTAAAGTCCTCATCGTCTTCGTCATCGTCCTCATCATCCATTCCTGGTTCAAGGCGTTCCCGGCCTTCCGTCTTTACCTGAAATAAGGAACCAAATAAAAAAGTTAATTCAATTGAGAGGGAAAGTATTCGAAGTGAACAATAAAATTAGGTTTTATTTAGATGCCTTCTTTTAGATGGCGGCTCAACACC